AACACTTCTACTCATTTCAAAGGAACGAGTAGAGTTATCCAAACTTTAAACTTCAAGTTTTAGACTGTATAAATGTGTTAAAGCAAAGCTGAAGGACACGAGGAAGCTTCTTATTTCAATGTTCATGATAAAAGAGCTTTTGTCAAAGCAATTGGTGAAATTCAGAAGCTGAAAAGCCACAAAACTTACAGTTTAAGCTAAAAATGTGTTTGATTTACACGCGTGTGTGTGTCCATGTGTGTGTGTGCGTACCAGCTCCTTGGTCTTCTCGGCCTCCTGCCGTGTGTGCTGCCTTTCCCGGCTCATGGCTTTGGCCGCCTCCTCCTTCTCTCTTTGGGCCATCTTTTCCAGCTCCTCCTTCAGAATTGCCTGCTGCCGCTCGAACCTTAAACATGAACGGACACATGAGACCTGCGCACACTTCTGATTCCACCCATCCTGTGATTTCTACGTGTCCACCAGGGGGCAGCGTGGGACAGGTCAGGTCATCAGGAGCTCCGTCTCCGCAGAGAAGTTGGCGAAACAAAAGCTGTTGTTTTTAAAAGCGTTTGAGACTTCTCTGACTTCTCTGAATCTGGAGCCGCTTTGATGAGCGCGTAGAGGCCGGAGCTAAATACCATTCATCATCTAAATGATGCGGAACTTATTTACGCCAGCCTAAAGTAACCAAAGGCTCTCATACATCAGTTGGTTGGCACCCCAGGCATGAAGATAAGGGGCCCAGCCTGAAACAGGCTCCATCTCCACTACATATGTTAACCATTACTGAAGGCCTGGACTGGAAAAGACTTAAATAAGCAGGGGAAAAAAGATACCCTTACTAGTTTTTTTCTTTAAAACCATAAGAAAAGATTCTACCAACCAAAAGGTGAAAAAAAAAAAGGAATGGAATGAGTCGTTTGGTAATATTTCACTCCTAACTACACACTAAAGTTTACATAGTTGTTTTTCTTTAAACATAGAGTTCCTCTATCGTGATTATTGCGAATAGCAGGGGTGTTGACCGTGAATGGCAGGGTCCAGCTTGACCTCTGACCCACCTCTTCTGCTCCTCCTTCATGTAGGACGCTGCTTTGCTGGACTGGCCGCTGGGCTGGGGCCGGGGCTTCGGCGGGGAGTCCGAGCTGCCGCTGCGAGGAGAACCTGAAGACGGGAAAAAAAAAACAGGCGATGGAAGAGACAGGGCTCGAAAAGTGAAAGCCAGTAAGCCGGTAACCACGGCAACGCAGTTATTTTGTAGCCTGGCGGTCAAGGTAAAGCCACCTCCGGGTCAGCATCACGCAGGTGTACCACAACGCACCATTTAAGCACACACTGATGTTTTTTTTCCCACCTTTCAATGTTTTGTACCTTAATTAAAGACTGAAACTTAAGAGTTTAAAAGAGAAAGGAAATACAATAAAACCTTACAAATAAAACTAAAAATAAATTAAGGCTTTCGGTTTAAACTCAGTTTGAAGATGAAAACTAAGACACATCTCAGAGAGTAGATTTATAAAAACACGACCACAGACAGTATCCAAATATGGTCTTGTGCTGAATCAGCAGTTATATTGAGCTACATGGACTTTTTCTGATCTTTACTGTGTCGCGTCGACACGTTTATGCGTTATTTGCACCATTTGTGCCACTGCCATGTTTTATGGTCTACTCCGTGGCCTATTTTTCCATCTGCGGCTCATATCGGGGTCGCACTGCGGCAAAAAAGTGTCAACATAATTTTTTCTCCAAAAAATAACCCCTGTGTGGTGGAACAGATGTATACGTTTCTCTCTATGTTCCGTTTTTTTTTTTATTCAATGGTTCTCAGCTGAACGAGTCGGCGATGACCCAAAGAAGTAAAGTACATAAATAACACCCGTCTGAAGATGAATCTTACTTCTTTTTTTTTTTTTTTACCAGGCAGACAGACAGCCCCTTAGGGCCTCAAGAACAGACCAACTTTACTCAAATTTCTCAACTTGGAGCAACTCGCTCAGCAGAGGAGAATGGTTTTCAAATTTTCCCCTTAAAGATAGCATAATCTGTTTAGTTCTTATTTGCATATCAGTCTGTGTCTACTCAGTAGCTCATTTCCTGGTTGCGTTCGATGTCCGGTCGTAATTCTAGGCAATGTAACTCTTTATTTTTACGTTGTTAACCCAGTCAGAATCAGTCCTGTTCTCATACAAACAAAGACACTGAATCCTTTGGTTAACTAGAGGCTGTGAGGTGAATGATACCTTTGTCTTTTAGAGGAGCTGAGGTCGATGAACGTTCTGGAGCGAGGTTGGCGACGCCTCTCATCCTCTGCAGAACATCCTCTGACAGCTAACAGGCAAAAGAAAGCAAACTGAGCCATGGATGTGTAGGAAATTAACCCCAAACCAACTTACAATCAGCTCAAGTCCTCTTCGGTCAGCAAACAAGAATGACATTATATTTCCTTTATCATTTATTCAGTACTTTTTATTTTCATTATAACTAGAAGGGGGGAAAAAAAAAAGAGCAGGATCACTGGAGCTATGCTTTATTTGAAAGTTGGCAAGAGCGTGTGTGTCTGTCTGTCTGAGGAAAGTGTTAAACATAGCTCCACCACAAAGAGGGCAGCACCATTAAGTGACTCATTGCTTCTATGACTCACAACATCTGAATGTGTAACCAGAGTTGGCAAACAGGATTGGCCGTAAAATTTTGAATTATTGTTTTTTGCAGACTTTTTCATAGGGCAAACATCATGGATGCAGCAAAACTACAAACGCATTCACTGGCCGGTGTGTTTTCATGATAGAAAGGCTTCTATACCTCAGGAAAGTGCCAGTCATTGTGGCGCGGGGGACTTTCAAATCTAGTCGGAAGTTTGGGAATACACTTCAGTCCTATTAAAACTACAGATAGAACTCATAGAAAATGGCAGCAAAAATAAAAAAAGTCAAGCAGCAATTAGGAATTTAAATCCAGTTTAAAGGTACCATTCCAATTACCTCAAAATGTATAGTCAGAAAGGTGTTGTTCGTGACCTGTAATGACCTAAAGTGCTCCCTGTCACTTCCCTTCAACAGGACTTCAATCAGATCAGTTTTGCAAGAACAACACGTTTGTTGTGCTCAAAAACATCGTTTTTGGAAGAGGGGGTATTTTGGCTACAAAAACTCGCATTACCATGCATCTATTTTTGGAAATGGAGATTTCCGACGTGCACTCTTGTTCACGAAAGCAACGCTGCGAAGGCTGACACAGTTTACCAAACTCCATTCAAAATATGCTATTTTAAAGTAACGCTGGTAATGGCAAAAAAAAGCCTCTCCTCACAAAAGATGGGTAACGCAAACCTTTTGCCAATTTAGTCATCCGTCCACCTCGCGTCTGACATTCAAACAGAGAAGCTTATTCGTTCGTTTGGTTTCTCTCGGGAACTACAGACTGAACGAATTCCTGCTAAATCTGTTAGCCACGCACCATATGAATTCTGAAAAGTGTGTCACTTGTAACACATTTCGTGCTGTCAGGTTGATGAAATATGCTCTTAGCAAGAAACCCTGATGGTTTATTAATTCTGCTCATATTCTGCAATACATATCCATTTAGCCAATACACAAGATGTTTTTCTATTGACAGTTTTTTTGCGAATGGAGCTTGGCGAACTGAAAAAGAGGCAGCTTTCAAAGCTCTTTCATCAACCTGACCCAGCCCCTGTATCCCCTCCATCCTCCATGCTTAGGGTGTTGCTTTCTGGGTGGTAGACTTGGAGTTGTTTGGGGTCACTATGAGCTGAAAACTTCGTATCTTGTGTAGCAACACGCCAATAGCCTGTTAGCAGGAGCGGCAGTATCAGAGTAACGTTAGCATGGCTTATCAATAGCTAGCCGAATTAGCATTACCTTGACTCCGCGGAGAATTCTGACTCTGTCTTCGTCATCGACACCAAAAGACACTTTTCTGGTCGTACTCTCACCCGAGCCCATACCTTCCAGCGTCAGGCGGTAGCTTTTTCAATTACCGTGAGGAGAATAATAGCAATATCATGAAATACAGTTACTGTCCTGCCCAATGACACTATGTGTGACAGATGGAATACGGGTTGCCTGATTCTTTTCAATTATCCCCCTTTTTAGCATTTTCATTAAAGTTAGAACAGCGTATTCAAATAGCATTCAATAATAAATTCCTACCATTGGCTGAAAATAATTTGATTATTTTATGTCTTTCAAAAGTGCTTTTAAATTTAATATTTTTTATTTTATTTAGTTTTATTCATAGGCTTACGGATATGTCTGGCAACCATACGGTCACACGCTGAAGCACCTTGCATGAATGGACCGCTGTTAGCCAATCACACAACAAACACACCACAACCCGCCTCGCTTCCTCACAACAACGCATACACACACGTTAGACACAAGTACACACACACATAAACATTGCCGTCCACGTTTATTTACACAATAAACTCAAAGCAAGTGTTCAGCTCAGCATAAATGTCAACAGAGGTGCATATGTAATGACAACAAAGAAAATAAAAGGCAAGCACAAGGTTTCAGGTAGCTTCCATAATGTATCAAATGGAAACGGTAGATGGACAAAACCTTTTTTTTTTATGGACAAAATTGTATGATGATGAAATTGTTCCATGGATCTAAAAACCCAACAAAATGTCCCTTAATCATGAATAATAATTTGACATATCTTACAAAAGTTATGCATTATCTAATTTAAAATTTCCTAACATTGTTACGTTCAAAAGTAAATCAACTATTTTTTAAATCAGGTATTCCAAAGTACATATAACAACATCTTGCTCCCAGTCACTGAGATATGCTTCAGAACTCAGAGTTCTGAATTTGGTAACTCAGACGGCAGAATGAATTGATTTGATCAAATAAATGTTACCAGAATTTGAATGCCAAAGAAAAGAATAAGAAAAAAATACATATCAGTTTTAACATTTTGAAAAAAAACTACTATTTAAAAAAAGGGGCTCATGCCTGCAGCTCTGTCTGCAGGACATATTCAGGACTCCACTACGCACTCAGGGTGATCCAGGACTCCGGTGTGTTCGAATGAATGCTGAATGCGGGGTAAACTGGCTCCTTGAACACAGCCCTGACCGTGTAGAGGTGCTCCCTGCGCCCTTTGAGGCTGTTGAATGTTAATGTTCCTCCCTCGAAGTCGAGCGCGATCTCTATCTTGACGGGCTGGAAGGTGGTCTCCCCCAGGGCGATGTTGCTGGACGACTTGCAGACGGTCAGCTTGCCGTTCTTCCACTGCAGCCTCCAGGAGACCGAGTTGTGCCCCAGGCGACTGTGGTCCCCCCGGCGGGGGAGGCTCTTGTAGCACACCCCCAAGGACCACATGCAGGTGGAGCCCACCTCCACCACCCAGACGTGCTGGCCGGTGGAGAAGCTCTGGCTGCACAGGATCTGGGGGGCGCTGGTGAAGCGCTCCGGGTGCTCCAGGTAGGACTGCTTGGAGGGGCTGCACCTGACCGTGCGCAGGTCGGTGGACAGGATCAGGCTGGGGTGGGCCGTGTGGGGGTTGAACGCCAGCTCCAGGGGGTCCAGGAGGACGTGAAGGGAATCCAGGAGGTGGATCATCTCCGAGCGGAAGTCGTGGGTCTTCAGGCCTGCCTGGAGGCGTTTGGTGTTGAGGGGACCGTTGGACTGGACGCTGGTGGAGATGCTGCTGGTGAGGACGCCTCTCAGCTTCTGTTCAATCATCATAAACCTGGAGAGAATTTAAAAGAAGCCTCTGCCTTTAACTCATTGACTGCCAGCCATTTTCAGAACAGAG